CACCTCTCTGCCACTGGCAGCCTAAATCTCTCCCAAATAAGTTTCAGGCTGGGGTATGGAGCAAAACCTTGGTCTCCACTAGGGAGTTATTTCGAACTAACACCCCTTAGGTCTAATTAATAAGCAGAGTGTCCACATTACCAAGCCTATTATTTTGAAATAACAGGCTGGCTATTTCAAAATCTGTGCTCCTGTTTTCCTCAGGGAATAACGCTAATTTCAAATTAGTTATTTTGAAATAGCATTAGTGTGGATGCTCTGCTGCTGCTAATTCAAAATAATTGGTCTCCGGAGGCTTCTCAGAGCTGCAGTTCTGACTGCTCTGGCCACTCATCCCCATTACTCCCCTCCTCCTGCAGAGCTTAAAACTCCAGGAAGCAGGAGAAGGGTTGCTCGCAGGCTGGAGAGTTGTGAGAGTCATGAGCAAGACAGCAGCAAGCAAAGGAGCCATGATGGACCCCAACACTCCCTCAGAGCCTCTATGGCTGCCTGCGCTCCTGCTGCTCTGTTGGCTACCACTGGCCAGGGACACAGGAGAGGTCCAGACTGGACCGGTGCAGAGATCTTGGACTTCATTGAGGCTCCTTCCTGGGGAGGAGACCAACCTTCAGGATCTCAGCACCAGGAAGAGGAATGTGAATGTCTATGGTCAGATGGCTGCCAGCCTGGCCAACAAAGGACACAACCAGACCCTGGACAAGGTCCAGATGAGAGGCTCTGGTAGGCCTACCACAAGGCCAAGGAGCAGAGCATGTGCTCCAGGGCGGCACCACTCATGCTGCTACTCCAACGAGCTGGATGCCATCCTGGGAGTGGGAGCATATCAGCCCCTGCCATCATTGTGAGCCTTTCAGGACACACCCAGCATCAGTCTCCAGGAGGGTGGGTTGTCAGATGGCACTGAGGAGGAGCAGAAGGAGGAGGAGCAGACCAGCCAAGCAACCATGCCCTTCAGTCAGGACAGGATCCTCACCCTGGAGCCAGTTTCTGCTCCCAGGATGTCTCCTAGGCTTCGGGCAAACCCAGGGAAGGCACTTCAGGTGAGTTCTATAATTTTCCCTATCTCCATGCGGTGGCAGGTGACAGGCTGTGAGGGGCTGCACATGCCTCTCTTGGCCTACTCAGCCTGGGGTGAGGCTGGAGGGGGGGTCACACAAGAGCCTGTGCATGTGGATGCACATGGAGCACTAGTCTGGAGCACTCAGCCCCATGATGCTCTCAGACAGGAACCCCTCATTCCTTCTCACAAAGTTCCTGCACAGGTCTGCCTTACTCCAGCCTCCATGGTGGGAAACCTTCCCACCACAAGCCACTGCTAAGGAGTTTGGGATCATGGAGCCACACAGCAGTGCTGCACATGGCATAAGGTCATGCCCACACTCAGGTAACATTGGCTCCCAGTTAAGTGCAATGGTGTGGAGGAGACGGATCCTATGCATGGGAATCTGCGGGGCAGAGGAAGAGGAAGGGAACCCAGTAGTGCTCTGTCCAGCAAGCAGCATCTGCCACTCATGCACCTCCCTCAGCCCCTCCCCACCTCCAGCAGGACCTGCTCAGCATTGAAGTGCTGCTTGTTGGGGGTCCAGGCTGCCCATGTAGGGCTTCATGAGCCAGGGGAACAAGGCGAAAGCTGTGTTGCCCAGTATCAGTATGGACATGTCTACCTCCTCAACTCTGATGGTGCAGTCAGGGGGAAAAATGCCAGCTGGGACTAGGATGGGGTTGTGTGTGCTATGGCCCCTCTGCAGTTGGGAAAGCCCATGGCAGCAAAGCCTTCCACAATGCTATCCACGTTTCCCAGTGATGACCCTCCATAGCAGCATGTGGGAGATGTCCTTCACTACTTTTATGAGCATGACCCTGACTGTGGATTTCCCCATACCAAACTGGTTTCTGATGGAGTGGTAGCTGTCTGGCGTGGCGAGCTTCCACAGGGCGGTGGCCACATGCTTCTGCATGGGGATGGAGGATCTCAGTTGGATGTCCTGTCACTGAGGGCAAGGGCGAACCATGCAAAGAGCTCGAGGAAGGTGGCCTTCAGCATGCAAAAGTTCTGCAGCCACTGCAGGTCGTTCCATAGCTGCCGGACAGTGTGGTCCCACCAGTAAGAATTTGTCTCCCATCGCCAGAAGCGGCATTCCACGGTGTATTGAGGGCATGCACAGCCACAGGAGCACCATGACTTGAGTCTCAGGGCCTGCAGACCATGTTGGTCATTGTCCTGCTGGAGCTGCATGCGACCAGTGGGGACGATCTGCACCATGAGGCACAGCATAAGGCCTGTGAGCCTAGCACTGCTTTGCAGCAGCTCTGGCTCCATGCTGTGAATGCTGTGGCATCCGCAAAGGTAATCAGATCACATTAAGTCCCTTTTGTGTCCCGCACGGGGGGAGGCAGTGTAAGAGCAGCATATGAGACACAGCTGCAGAAAGGAGCCCCTGAAAGCATGCATTGCAGCTTGCCTGACTAAGCAGCCACAGGAGTGCGTCCAGAAGCTCTAAGTCCAAGGCAGACTCCAATCAGTGTGGCTACACTGTGGACGCAGAGTGTGGAGCCCCTGGAAGCACTTTGGGCCACCTGGAAGGAAGGCTCCAATCAATGTAGGTGTGCTATTTCAATTTGTTAAATCAGGAGTTATGATGTAGATTTTACTTATTTCATCATGCCCAGAGACAGCACTTCTTTTGGTGGATAACTTTCTCCTCGTATTTCTCATATTAGATTTCTACTCCACCCAACTTCTCTATCCTGCCAGTCCCCCGCCAAATTCCACTTCTGTCCTCCAGCAACATACTACATCTCCAAGCTCTAGCAGCATCCCATCTAGCAGTTCCACCACATTCCTCATTTTCTACCAGCACCACATCCAACCCCCAGCATTAACACAAGCCCTCCAGCAAAGATCCAGCAAACCCTCCTTATTGCCTCCTTATTGCTTCCAAGAGCACCACCCAGAATCCCCCATCTATATTCCCAACACCAGTACCATGATCAACAAAAGGGGAATCCTGTGGTTTTCTAGTAAAACGTATTTATACTGCATGGATGAATACTAAGGGTACGTCTAGACTACAGGCTTTTGTCGACAGAAGTTTTGTCGACAGATACTGTCAACAAAGCTTCTGTCTACAAAGAGCATCTAGACTACATTCAGTTCTGTCTACAGAGACAGCTGCTTTGTCGACATGGCAGTGTAGACGCAAAGGACAGTTTAGATGCAATAACACCTTCTGTCGACAGAACTCTGTTGACAAAAGGCGTTATTCCTCGTAAAATGAGGTTTACCAGCATTGACAAAACTACTGAGTTCTGTCGACGTTATGTCGACAGAACTCAGCGGTAGTGTAGACGCAGGTTTAGTTTTGTCGACAAAAGTCCACTTTTGTCAACAAAACCCTGTAGTCTAGACACACCCTAAAAGTCTTCAAGTGTTCTGGAAAAAGGTAAGCTGTTGCCACATATCTTCTATCTATGAGGCTGTGTTATCAGGACATTTTGCACAGCTCTCAGCTTGGTTGGTAAATAAAGGAGTCCATGTGTCCACTGAAGCTGTTATTTTAATTCCAGACTCTGCAAACCATACTTAATTCCTCCACACATGCAACAGTTTGCATTTTAGTTTATTTTTTAAGTTAGAAAAGGAACAGTAAATTAGCAAGTTCTCTGCAACAAAATAATTGGTATTGTTGAGCATTTAGGGGCATTTTATTTTATTGGGAAATTTAGAATTCCTCAGCCAGGTTATGTCCTGGTGATCCAGACACAAAGGAAACTTCTGTGTATCAATCTTCTCCTGCCCAAGGGGAAGATGAGGACCAGTTGTCTGTGACATCATTCCATTGACAGCTCATTGGAGAGTTACCTGTGGGAAGAAAGTACACTGAGGGCAAGAGAAGAGGGTTGGGTGGGGTGGGGCGGGGTGGGGAGAGTTATGTATTGTTTCCTACCAGCCACTAGGGTAATCTCCAGGAAATTAGTATAGGTTGCACTATTTTTATTTGTGGAGTGTTTCAGAGTAGGGATGCATCTCCACATGGAAACAGTGCCAACACACAAAACCTCTCAGTCGATGGCCCTGGCCACCAGTAAAAGCCCCCATGATCCTTCTTGATTGCTTCATCTGTTTACTACTCACGTTGTATGGCTGGTCCCATAAACCAAATGGTCTTGCGTCTGCTCCCTAACTGGATGACTGAAACTATTTAAAGAGGAGAATAAGCCAGGAATGAATAGCAAATAATGAATAACACTCACCCAAGTATGAATTTTCAGACACATTATTATTTGTGACAAAATGTATTAAACAATTCTATATTATAAACATTTTTGTGTGTACCCAGTGCTTGTCCCAATCTGTATTACCCCACTAGCAACATTTTAATAATCTACTGGCTCTACTGTTATATAACAAAATGTAAGTCAGACTCATGTTATACACTGCCTAAAATACTGGAATTTTTGATATTGCTAAAGTGGAAATACTGAACTCATGCAGAAAATAATAAATATGTGAGTGATTTAAAACAGCTCTGAAGCTCTGATATCCAAAATCAGTCAATTTTTGCCCCCAGCAAAACTCATTCACTTAATAAGAACAGCACGTAAAAAGTTAAACAAAGTATTTCTTTGCTATTCGACATGGAAAAGAGTAAAATATACAGTATAAACAGGAGATTATTAAGCAGCTAGCAAAAGGATTATTTGTTTCATTTAAAATCAAGAAGATTTGCATGTTCCACCAAAAGGCATTATTTAAAAGTTTCCCTTTTTTTTGCAGTTAAATAATGACAACTTCATCATCCTAGCAAGCAAGCAATTTTTTCCCATTTCTTATATTAACCAGTATCTATGCAGACTGGATGAACTGTATTGTTTGTACTTACAGTGTCTCAGGGATGGTAGAGAGTTCATGAGTCTAAGAAATCAATTCAGTAGTCTTCATTTGATTTATAGTTCTTAAAGCAGAAAAGAAGCCTTATTCAAGAAATTAGTATATATAATGCAGATAAGAACAATTTGTATTAACTTACATTTTCAGCTGTAAATTAGCAATATTTCAGAAAATTTAAAAAAATATGTTCTTGACTGCTTATTGCCTTAATAGGGAACCAAGCACCTAGTTATGTGACTCTGAAATCATCAAATCCAAGACCTAAAAATCTGTGGAAAACTAACTTTCCAAAGACTTATGGAATGATCTTCAATTTCAAACTCCAGACGGAGATCAAATCCAGTTCATTGTTCCGACTCTCCAAATTATGGGTGGGGCTGGTAGGGCTTCCTATCAAGTTTCATGGCATTGCCCATTATAAGATTTTGGTTTCAGTTTCTTATAACTTTGCCAGACTTTAACCACTCAGCCTGAAACTTTCCTCTCAGGGTAGCTGCATCAGGCTGAATTTTCCTGGAAAATTTCTGCCAAAACAGTTCAACTATTTCTGAGGCTAGAAAAAAAATATGTTGTTTTTCCCATGTTAAAAATTTCTGATGACCTTCCTTTAATAAGATCCAGCACCACCATGCTTTGGAGCAAGGACTTGAAATGCAGCAGGGGTATGAGTGATCTTTGGTATCACAGATGCTCCTTTTGCCATTCTCATGGAAATCCATCCAAATTCAGCCAAGTTCTAAGTCCTCAAAAAGTTCACAATAGAGACATCTTAGATTTGGGCAGCTAAATTCTCCAAAGATTCTGTCTGCACACAGCATGCTTCAGCCTGGGGTGGAGTAAGACTTCCCCTACAAATGAAGCTCTGGGCTGCTTTGGACTGTGCTAGATCCAGACAGTGAGCAGAGAGCCAGACTCTCTCTACTGTCAGTTACACCATAAAAAGAGACACTTTCTCAGTCTGTGATTTGTCATTCATTAAATCCATCAATTTTGCTTCTCTGAGACCAGTGAGACATGAACAGACATTATGAGATTTAATCATGGAGTCACTGAGAATTGTTACAATAGGAATAGGGGAAGATATGTGTTGCCAAATTTGGATCTCAGGTGCCTTGGTGGTACTGGGAGCATTCAATAGAACATTATTTATTGTATAATTGAGGGTGCCATGTGTGGGGTATTTTGGCACTTGATTCCAATAATGTTGCTGTTTGTTTCATTAGAACATGCTACATTTAGCTTTTCAGTACTTGTTTTTAGTTCTATTTTTGTTATGAGAGTCACAGGCTTCTGAACATGGAACATTATAAATTAATAGAAGTATTATCCCCATAGTATGAGAAGTTCCTTATTCCCCTATGTACTTATTCTCCATTGTCAAATATTTTATAGGCCACCTATTTACCGCCATCCTGGAGGCTCTGCACTAGTGTTTGAAGTCCAGTTCTCATCCCCACTCTGTAGCCACTTTCTCTGGTTGCCACAAGGAAGGATTCATGGTCCCTATTGGGTGCTCTTGGCTAGAGGAAGCAAAAGGAGAAAAATATGGGAATCTTCTGAACCTCAAGAGAGCCTTGAAAAACATTTCCCAAATCCCCCGGACCAAAAAATGCAGTGTGTCTACATGGACAATAACAAATAGCTGCTCTGGGGTTTCTGTCAGCTCTCCTGCTCTCACCGACAATTCTGCAGTGCTGTCCCTATGATACAAAGGGCCTCAAACAAGGATTTAGGTCAAATGCTGAAAATTTGTAATAACAGGAACATGTTAGAAACTAAATCCCATGCCCTAAAATATATCATTTTGTTTATGTGTGCAGCAAATTGCCTTCCATCCACTGGCACAAACAGGAATCAGGCTGAATGTTGCTGATACTCTGTGGGCATACTGATGCATTCGTTCAGCCTAGTGTTAGACCTCCCTAAAATATGATGCTACAAACAGCTGCCTGCTGTGCTTGCTTCAGGTTGCTGCTGTCGAGCCTTTCAGAAAGGCTAAGCCTTTAGCAAGGAATAGGGTGTTATGTTGCACTTAGGTTTGCAGGGGAGGAAATGATTCCTGTCTCCATACCTGTAGTAACTAATGCTAGGAATGAAAATACTTGTGTTTTTCTTGCAACACTGACTGTGGCCATGTACAGCGTAGCTGGTTTAACTTATCCTCCCTTGAGTGTTTTTTTCCTCTTCTGCACAGTTCCCATACTGTAGCTCCTGGAAATCATTTCAGTCAAAAATTCAGTCTGTGTAAAAATCTGAGACTTCCTGCAGCAGTGGGACTTAAGCCAGCAGACGGGATTCAGGGTGTGCTTGCCAACTCTTGCACAGTGCGTGGCAGCAGAAAGATCCATAAGATCATCTGAATTTGCTGTGGAGTTTCCGCTATAGAAATGGAAGCAGCATGGTAGTTAAAGCGGCGCTGCCGGCACAATTTGTAGAGTGGAGGTGCTGAAAGGCACTGAACAAAACTGCAAACCCTGTACATGGTGGAAACCACTTCAAGCCAGGCGAGGCTGCAGCAGCCCTGTACCCTGAATTCTAGCACCTGTGCATTAAAAATTAGAACAGGATAACACACATACATAAAAATTATATTACTACTCAGCTTGGTTATATCATATGTTGTCATCTCTTGCTAATTTCCTTAAGGACAAAGGGAATCAATATTCATTTCCTGAACACCCCCTCGCCCAGACAAGGCAGTCGGCCAACCTCCTCCTCTCTCAGGCTTATCTCTGGCCCACAGAACAATGTCTCCATAAGAAACACAGTGCCACAGAGCATAGAATCATAGATTACTAGGACTGGAAGGGACCTCGAGAGGTCCCTTGGAAAGATGGAGACGTATGCCATCCTTATTTAGCAGATAAACTTGATTAAATAACTGAATATACTGCATATTGCCAAATTCCACAACCAATACTGATAATCTAAATAAATGCTTTTGACAGGTTTCTTAAAAAAAAAAAAAAAGCAGAGTATGTCCTGTGTTTTCCCAAGTTTGACCCAACCCCAAACAAAACTTTTTCTTGATGAATAAGATAGATATTAAACTCTGCAGTAAAAATAATGTGATTAGAATTATTTCTGTTATATAATATTATCATAAATCTTGATCAAAATCAAGAATTTGATTTCAACAGACTAGGCAGTCACACTTACCAAAAGGGAGAAAGGGGAACAAAAGAAAAAGGAATATTCACATGTTCAGCATTTACCATTTGAGCCCTGCTCCAGGGGTTTGGGCCAAAATATTTTGGCACAACAAGATAACACAGTAATCCATTTTATATTTAGTTACTACTGTAGCTCGTACAAAAATCCCTCAATGCTCATAGTAGAAATCACCTAACTCCCTTGCTAAAATGGATATTTATAAGGAAGCATATTTTTCCAATTGAAGAAGATGCTAGGGACAGTTCTGTTTTCTGTCCAAGTTCTTTCCTGGATATGCCAAGATTTCTCGGATACTGATAGTTATGAGTATGAGTGTAGGGCAATTGATTCTCAGCCTCCCCCCCCAACTTCTTTATAGTGTCATTAAATACCTAAGAATAAAAGACCAAACAAATTCTTGGCACAATAGATCAGAGTTTGGATAAAACCCCAAAGCTTTGAAAGAACAATTCAGATAAGCTTTGAGGGTAAAATCCTGGCCCCACTGAAGTCAATGGGACTCTTGCTATCAACTTCAATGGGGGGCAGGAATTTACCATGAAGCAGATTTGAATATTTTTGTTTAAAAGCTACTATGAACATACTTTCTTGTGAGACTTTCCTTAGCTATAGGTGCTAGTTAAGTTGGGAATGTGAAAAGACTGGTGATTGTTGCAGTGATTATTATAATATTTATACATTATTTCAGTATTTTCACTTCCAAAACTGGGAAATATAAAGGCATGGAAAACATGGAGAAGGGCCAAATCCTTAGCTGATGTAAATCTTCATGAGTCCACTGAGGTCAGTTCAGCTATGGCAATTTACATTAACAGAGGATCCGGCTTAATAAAAAGTAAGGTATAAAAACTAGGAAGAGTAAAATGGGTGGGAGGGGGAGCTCATCACCGAAAAAAACAGAAAAAACTCCAGCAAGTTAGTTATTTTTCAAACCTCAGAAAACAAAGAGGCTTAGGGTTTTAAACCCTAACATTTTGCTAATGCCAAGGAAGAAGTGGAAGCTAAAGTCTAGACATTTGCCAAAGTGAAATGATTTGGTGATCTAAGTCTGTTACACTACTGGTTAGATTCCCACCTCACAAAACCCAGCAGGTGCAGTTTTAGGAGATACCACAGCATTATACATAGGAAAATGTACTCAGCAAGAGTTATCCCTCCACCCAGCCCAGCATCTTTCCGACCCAGAAACATGCAGGCAAGACTGACTCTCTTTGGGAACACTGGGACCTATGGGGCCCCACCGTTCCCCTCACTCAATAGGCTTTGGAAAAATAGAAACTCCAGGATGGAACCAGCTAAAGATTCAACCTGGCAGGAAATACTGAGGAAGCAGCTTCAACAGGAACCTTCAGAAACAGGTGATGCATTGTATAGTGTTTATTGTAAATGAAGTTTTATTTTCCCTCTGGTGAGTTTGTCTGCAGGTTTCACCTCTTTCCTACCTTCTCCTCCATCTTTTAATTCCAGCCTATTCTATCTCCTTGCCATCTGCCTTTCCATTGTTGCCTCAATTGTCTCATATCCCTTCCTTTCAGACAGTCCCTTCCTGTCTTCCCTTCTCACCCACTTTTGCTCTATACAAATTTAGATATAAAAAATCATTTGGAAAGAAAGAAAGAAAGAAAGAAAGAAAGAAAGAAAGAAAGAAAGAAAGAAAGAAAGAAAGAAAGAAAGAAAGAAAGAAAGAAAGAAAGAAAGATCTTTGAGAAGTTCTACATGCATGTGGGCACATGGGATCCAGTGGATATAGTGTACTTAGATTTTCAGAAAGCCTTTGACAAGGATTCTGAGCAAAGACTTTTAAGCAAAGTAAACTGTCATGGGATAAGATGGAAGGTCCTCTCATGGATTGCGTATCTTATTTCGAATCTATTTAGAAATAGCTTATTTTGGAATTTGGCTCATCTACACAGTGCAAACGTGCTATTTCGAAACATTCCTTAACCCTCGTGGAATGAGGGTTACTGGGATGCCAAAATAGCACTCCCATTATTTCGAAAAATATAACAGGTGGCTTGCGTAGATATGGGCTTCCTTGTCTATGACACATAGCTGCATAAACAGACTCCAGGTGTTTATAGTCATTTTTGTGGAGTGTGGAGTTGCTAAGCTCAGAGAGCCTCTTTCAGAGCCTTGGCAGCCCCAGTTGGCTTCAAGGATTTTCAGGAGTCCATATACTTTGTTTTCATAGAATGACTGAAGAATGCATTTTTCTTCAAGTCACAAGATGAACCAATTCCACTGGAAGATGAAGAAGTCTGAAAAAATGTTGGTGTAGTCAGGAAACCAAGATAAGACAACTAGTGCACCTGCAATAATTTAAACCACATACAACAGACTTCCGATAATCCGGCACCTTTGGGACCTAGATGGTGCTGGATTACTGGATATGCTGGAGTATCGGGAGGTACTCCGGTGGGGGGCTGTGACAGGTCTGCTGGGACCTGCACTGCATCCGGGGTGGATGGGCAGGGAACGGCGGTGAGGGGCAAACCCTCCGCTGTTTTGCAGGAAGGCGGGGGAAGCCCTGCGCAGCCGCCGG